TATTTTGTAGAGTGGAAATTACTATTTTTAATAGAAATATATCATCTATAACATTTTCATCAAACATAGGGATTTCAGCTTAAAAATGAAGCATCACTAATAACTTTTGCCAACAACAACATTTAAAACTAAGAGTGAACTGTTTTGTAGTGGTGCCTGGGCTCCTTGAATTCTGGGAATTCTCCCTCTGTGATTTTTGTTTTTTTGTCTTAAGTAAAGGCTTCCTTTCAAGAAAAGGAAAAAAGCCTCACGTCAGACAGGTATACCCAATCCCACAGCCTTTCCGTTCCTGAGAGATTAGTTGAGGATGCTGACCATCTAAGTGAATTCTAAAGGATTACTCTCACTTGATGTTCACAAACTGAAGTCAGTGCATTATTAAGTTTATTAAGGTTTCTAATCCCATATTCTGCTAAAATACCTGATTGTCATGCAAAGCTCCATATATCGTAAAAGATTAGGTTTGGCTGCAAGCACAGAGAATTGAAAAAAGATGGCCTGCAAATACAGGGACTTAAAGAAGGTAAATGTTTATTCTTTTCTCACCTAGAAGTAATTCACAGTAGGCAATCCAGCACTGGCATGGAAGCTACAGAAATTATTCACCTGGACCCCTTCCAGCTCACTGTTCTGTCATCCCTAGACTGTAGCTCCCATCCTTATGGTCCAGAAGGGCTGATGAAGCTTGTCATCACATGCACATTCCATGCGGTAGGGTGGAGCAAGAGAAGAGTTTGCCTTCTCCCTTATTAGAAGACTTTCTGTAAGAACAGCACAAAACATCCTCTTATATCTCCTTGACCAAAACTTAGTTATAGGGACAATCCTATCTGTAAAGGAAGCTAGGGTATATAATTTTTATTGTAGGCGGTCATGTGCCTACTAGAAATAAACTCTCTCTTACCAAAGAAGAAGATGAGACTGGAAATTGGGAGATAAATAGTGGTCATTACCACACTTCACAATGTTGTACAGCCCCTCCTGCATATATGGACCCAGATCCTTGGATTACTAACCATTTTCAATGTGCCATCAGTGTTGACTGGACTTGACAATGTTTTGAACCCATAATTTTCAAATAATGAGATGATGAGGACGTATCTGGGTTACACTTAAATCCTAAAATAAAAATGAATTTACTATCTTTGTAATCTATCTTTGGAATACGTAGAATAGTGAAGCTTTTTTCTCTGCATAAATGAGCCCTGTTAAAAGAATTGGAGAGCCTTTGTTCCAGAACACGTGCTCTAGGAAATGACTAGATTCTTCCAAGAAGTAACAAGCAAGATGGGTCTGAAGGACCGTGACAGATCCTGAGTTGATTACTAAACACAGTGATTAGACAAAGGCTGGAGAGGTTAGTGGGGTGAGATCAGAAAGCTTCTGGGGCCATGAAATTACCCTACAGGTCAGCGGGGGAGCCATCGAAGGACCTAAGCAAAAGTGTGACAGAATTACTTTTGCAATGAAAATGTAGTTGTTCTTGAACTTAGTTTTTGTGGAATATGCTGTGGTAGTAAAATGAACATTTCAGTTTCTGTAGTTTCCTACATCACTTTGTGGGGATGGGTCCCCAGGAAAGAGTGAGACCTATAATAGCTATTAGGGACATTTTCCAAGAATCTGTGAGGTTTTCCACACAGATTTTCCAAGAATTTTCTGGGGTTTTTTGTTTTTGTTTTTTTTTAAAATATTGGCACCTGGGCTAACGTCTGTTGCCAATCTTCTTTTTTTTTTCTTCTTCTTCTTCTCCCCAGAGCCCCCAAGTACATAGTTGTATATTCTAGTTGTGAGTGCCTCTGGTTGTGCCATGTGGGATGCCGCCTCAGTGTGGCTTGATGAGCGATGCCATGTCCGCACCCAGGATCCCAACCGGTGACCCCCTGGGAGGTCGAAATGGAGCAAGTGAACTTAACCATGTGGCCACAGGGCTGACCCAGAATCTGAGTTTTTAAGTTTGCAGAGGACTGCTAGGGCCTTCCTGATGTTCCTGATGTAGTAGGATGGAGACCTTTGGTTATATTCTTTGCTTTGCTTTTTTGTTGCTTGTTTTTACTACGAAAGAGATAAATAATTGTTGAAAATTTAGAAAATACGGGAAAGCAAATAAACCTCCCTGTACTATTCTAGGCAGTAATGAACACTGTTACCATTTCAGCGTATGATCCTCTGGCTCTTTTTCAATGCATATAGACTGCAAAGTTTTGCAGGGTAACATGCTGGAATGCCTTCTAAAAGCCTATTTTTAGACCATGGAGTCTTTAGTAGAAGAGAAAGGGTTCAGTAGTTCCCATCGGCAGCTGAAGAATCCTGAGGAGCCATGGATTACTTATGAGTGTCCTCAAATCCACATGCTTATCAAACATTGTCTATGGATTGAACAAGTTACTGTGTCACACATGCATGTTCAACCATTGGGTAAACATACAAAGATGCTATTCATTGAGATTAATAAATGCAAATTCATTCAAAAGCACTACTGAATTTAGAGTAGCTTGCTGCCATTAGTTGTTTCTTCAATGAATATTAAGTAAGTTCAACCATTTTATGGTAGGTCCACAGATGTACTGATGTTCCAAAGGGGTCCTTGTGCTTGTGAAGGTGAAAACAAAAAATTCGTGAGGGGCTGAGTGACTTGCAGAGTCATTGCTGTTTCCACCGTGTCACAGTTCAGCCCACACCAGTCGCACGCTTCCAGAACCCCTGCTTTCCCTTCGATTTTCCCATTTAGCAACATTCACTAGGGGAAAGCAAACCACTCACATAGTTGGGTGGTTCTTCTTCCATAGGTGGATTAAAAAACTTGAACTGACTTAGCTAGATCCAGAAAATGAAAGATTTGATTCCTGAAGCAAAAATATTGTTTAAACATATCAGTATTTGCAAAACAAGGAGATTTTTACCATTTTTCTCCATGATGACCCCAAGAGTCTTGTAGATGAACCCCAACCTTCACTAATTGCTTGATTCTTATTCTTTAAGATTCACTCTTTTAGTAAAATCTGTCCTATTTAAAGATAGCAAACCGATAACTTAGGAAATAAAAGAGATTTCCTACTTTCCATTCTAAAGAAAAATCTATTTCACACTTCATTACTTTTCTTTCCCCAAAGTTGAATCATACTTAAAATCATATGGTTGCTGGTAAAAGATGATTTTTTGGATTTTCCATAAGCAGGATGTGTTAACAGATACCCCTTCCAGGCCAATTGTTTTATGTTAGCTTCTTTTAATTGGATTTGGTTCAGTTTTGTTATGTCGGGATGGGGACTGGCTGCCAGGTGAAAGATCAAGGTCTCCTCATCCACTCTATTACATTCCAACTTTAATCACATTTCCCTGAGCTTAATAAAATGCTCTTTCTCCCCCTGCTTAGCTTTCTCTTTTTAAGTTGAGTTAATATTCCTGACCCTTTCTGTACCTGATTGAGTCTCCTATCAGTTTAGCGCCTCATTTGAGTAGTTTCTCTCCTTCATCCCATTTGTTTTTATCCTGTGTGTGCTGCTAATTGATCTATTTCTTTCATCACAGGAGATGTGGGGGTGGTTTAGGAAAAGATGTACATTTCCTGGTGGATGCTCAGTTCCGAAGAGAAGTCATTTCAGCATTTGCCTTTCAGAAATGAGAGACAGGAAGCAGTCTCCTGGAACTGGGGAGACACATTAGTAGTGTGTTTCTCAAAATAACTGAAAGGATTTGGTTTTGAGTCCTGTCCCTTTCCTCCTACTCTATTGCTTGCTAGAATGTCATGGTGGGTGATACAGGGAAATGTTCATTGTATTGTTATTCTGAAAGCTTAAATTTTTGTTCACTCTGCCACCTACATTCTTGGGCAAATTATTTCTTCTTTCTAAGCTTTGGGTTTCTTAATCTATAAAATGGAGCTAGTGACATTCCCAGCTTGTTTGGGAATCTCAAGAAATCCTACATGTGCTATAAAAATATCAGGAATTATTACTGCATCAAAGGTTTTATTAACAAGCTGAAGACAAAAGTCATTTGCTTCTTTATTGTAGAAGGAGATAATGAGTCTAAGCATGAATTCCCAGTCCTACTAGCTAACTGTGTGACTTTGGGTAAGTTACTTGACCTCTTTGTGTCTCAGTTTCCCCAAGCATAAAATAGAGATAATCATAGTTACTACCTCATTAGGTTAGGAGAATGAAAAGCAATAATCCACACAAAGATTTCAGTGTGGTATTAGGAGCATAACAAAAGCTCAATAACCATTAATGTTCATTATTACATACAAAGAACTAGCAAAGAGAATTCTGATAGTTCATCCTTCAGTGTGCATACATTGCATACTATGCCAGTTGCATCATACTGTGCTCAGCATTGGGAGAGGTAGACACAGTCCTCTTCTCATACATCTTACAAAAATAATTTCTGTATTCAGAGTATCAAGATTAGCCCCATTTTACAGATAGGGAAATTGATGTTCAGGGATGTGAAGCAAATTATTTTAACCAGGCCCAGATTCTGGGCCTCTGGATTTCTGTCCTAGAGTTGTCTCTTCTATATTTGCAAACCTGAGCTTGACCTCCCTCCCTAACAGAAAACTCTCCCAGAAAAGCCAAGAATTAAAATCTTGTGGATTTTAAACACAAGATTTATTCTGTTGCTAGAAAATTGAAAACCCAATAAAGTAACAATGACTCATTGTTCAACTCATTTTATAGACCTTTCAAAAATACAGTATTCTGTGCAGTCCCCCTCTGCCCATCTCGAGACTTGAACCAGTTGAAATAAGTTGTTGTTCAGCAACCAACATGTTTGTCCCCCTCCCTGGAAAAAATTTTGCTTTCTGCTTAAACAAGTGTCATTCTGAATATATTTTGATTTACAGGAAAATAGTGCATATAAAAATATAGTATATACACACACACATAAGTATGTATATTTATGTGCATATATATATATCTCCCCTAAGCAATGTCAGTCTCTTTAAATGCAAACCTTAATTTTAAAATTAAGTTTTTTCAGAAGATAAAATGCATTTTAAAGAGAATAATCTTGTTTTTTTCAAAGACAAAGCAGAAAATATCTAGGCAGAAGGATCACAGCTTTTAATTAAGTAATATCCTAGAAATCACAGTCAATAATTTTGAGAGGAGAGAGGTGATGATAAATTGCTTGCAACAGGCCATGCCCTGTCACCAGCCTGATTTCTTATTATTTTCATTCCTCAGTCACTAGGTCAGTTCTTAACTGTTTGATAAGAGTTAGTTATGATGCGGCAAATGGAAATTTCTCCCCATAATTTAAAGTTAATTGCAAAGAATCAAAAAAAGAAAACCCTTCACTTAGGTAATTACACTGGGAAGACCACCTGCCGTTTGAAAAAGAACATTAGTTCTACCATCCACTTCCTGGACTGGCAGCTCATACTCAGTCTCTGCTCCTAATCTCTAACGTTAACATGTTTAGTATTAGACATAAAATCTCAAATTTTTTATCGAGTTTCCATCAGAGACTGAAACCTCAGCCCAAATCTATTGTTCAAATTATGGTAGCTAGAATGGTAGCTACTTAAGATTTTTGCATTCAGCGTATTTGATTTTTCTCCCCTTTCGTGTCTTCGAAGTATATTTCTAACAGAATACATCCAAGTCTTTCTTGATTATCTTAATTCAGAAACAACTCCATAGCATACATTTTTTAGGGGCCACGTTTTGGAGAATAACAATATTTTTATCATTTACCAAAGCAACTGTAAAAGATAACTGTGAGGAACAACAAGGCTGCATTTGAAATGTGGTTGGTGGGTGGCAGGCTAGGTTACTCACTGTTCAAAAGATTCGCTCCACTCTCCCAGCCTCAAAGAACTTGGGATTCCAGTTTTAGCCTCGGCAAATGTAAACATTGCCATGTGAAATGAATGTTAGAGCTCACTCTTGAATGATCCAAATGAAGTTCTGTTGCAGTGGTGAGCAATCTTTTTTGCATAAATGTCAAATCAAGAATAATCAAAGTGTTCATAGATTGCCTTTATTTTTTTTCTGGAACTCATATTCCTAAAATCAGAACATGCAGTATCTAAAACGGAGCTTATGCAGTCATCTATTTCTCTTATGCTAAGGTTTTTATTTCAAAGGAGTAACTGTAGTGCTGTGCCTTTAGACGTACTTTGCGTGAGATGAAAGCTCAACGATGCTGAAGGAGGTATTGCAAAATTTGTAGTTAGGGGGAAAAAGATGGCACCAGAGTTGAGCCACAGTAAAGAGAAAATGTACTTCTATTAGGGTTTTCTCAGCTGCTTGGGGAGATTTTTGAAGGAGAGTCTTAGAAAATGGGGCGATACAATGGACTAGAGCGGCTACAAATAACCTATTAGTGAGTGCTTGCCTGTTCCTTTTCCTTACCATTCCCAGTCTACAATATAGACAGAAGAGATTCCGGTGGTTCCAGTCCCCTGGTGTGGGATGAGGTACAAGCAGTGTTCTCAATCTTGCTTCCTGCCTTGGGTGTCTCTGGCTGCTCTGCCTTCTACCATGTCGTATGCCCTCTGAGGTCCCCAGCTGCCACCTCCTTGAGATTGTCCCCATCCCCTGCAGGAATCCCCTTCTCAGTATTCTCCGTAAAGAGTCACCAGGCCTGACACATGAATGTCAACATGGACAAAGTCCTATCTATTGTCCTCCCTGACCATTCATAAAATAGCAAGTGCTTTAAATATAATTTAAAAAGGATTCAGAGTAGTTTAATGTTGGCTATTGTGTTGATGTTCCATGACTTGACTTGAGATAAATGGAAACACCCTGGGGTTTCACTAGCAGAAAGGACAAGCAATCCTTCTCGTGACATTTTCTGGTCTTTGATGTGTGTTTTCTGTGTGCTTTAGTAGGATGTCTTCCCTGTGGAGTTCTTCCCACCTGATTTCAGACAGGAAGTCTGCATGAAATCTACCAGCTCTAAAAGAGTTTTCCCAATACAGCCATGCGACTTGGTGAGTGACAATCACTCTGACTACTTTACTGTTGACTTCCTTGTTCCTGAAAATGGACCCTGGGTTGTGCAGCACAACAGAAAGCTAGGCAGGCTGCAGGGGACGCAATCTCATCTCCTGAACTAGTGTAAATGATAAATAACAAATAAGAATGAATATGGAACAAAGAAACAGATTTTCTGATGATAAAGTTTTGAACCAAGTCAACTCAGATTTGATAGAAGTCATTTAAACCACTTGGATTTTTGGAGCAAGTGTTCTCTGCCTTTTACAGGAGGGGTTTATGTTGAGTTGGTTTTTGGATTAAAGATGCGGCACTATCAGAAATGTGGCTATGACTTTCATCATCTCCCAAAGTTAATTAATGGAGATCTTTCTGAAGTCTGTAGGAAGTTCCAGTATTTTGAATTCAACAGGTTAATTATGGATATTTGGTAAGTATATTTTGTCATGCTGTCATAGGACAAAAGCAAACACATCTACTTATGAATGTAAGAAAGATTAAGATGAAATTAAATGGATTAAAATAAAATTCAAACTCTTGACTAAATTTAGCTGGATCAAAATAAAAGTAAAATATTGGGATTATGCAAACAACAACATTTGACTTCTATTCCGGTCTTTTTATAGAAAAGAATAAAGGATGCTCTAAAATTTCCAGATGAATTATATATTTAAAAACAAGTTTTATGAAAGATTATAAACATTCTATCAGTTACCCCCAAAATTGTTTCTGTTAAAATCTAGATTCTCTGTGGAAACAGGGCCCCTAGCACCTAACACAGGGTTTAACATTTAGTAAATATATATAATAAATAATTTTAGATAATTAAATGGATTTATAAATGCCTCCTAGACCTCACAACCTGGAAGTCCCACAAGTACCTTGAACTGAGAATTTCTGAAACTGAACTCAAACTCACCCCTTCCTTATCTACTCCGACCCACAACTCACTTCTCCTCTATTTTATTTCTCAGTGAAGTCACCAGGCTTGACCTGAGTGTCAACATAGACTGAATCCCCTCCATGGTCCCTTCTGACTATCTCTCAAATAGCATGTGCTTAAATATAATTTAAAGTGAATTCAAAGTCACTTTATATTTGGGTTATTGTGTTGATGTTTAGTGACTTAACTTGAAATAATTGGAAACCCTTTGGGGTTTCACAAGCCGAAAGTACAAGAAACCTCTCAACATTTTCCAGTTTTTGATGTATGTTTTCTGTGTCCTTTAGTAGAGTGTCTTCCCTAGGGAGTTCTTCCCACCTGATTTCTGTTGCATATAAGTAGATACCTGTATAGGTAGGTAGATACCATACAGGTAGGAACTTATACCATTTTCTTAAAATAAAATGGAGACATTTAGGCATTGCATGTAAACAAAGCCAGTGATTCTTAAAATCAGGTCTGCGATGTAAGCATCCGTGATACCCCAATCAGATGAATTCACAGCTGACAGGGCGATGGGTTGTGAGTCAGGTCCATGCCATCAGCCCTGGGTCTCAGCAGTGGCTCCAGGTGCTGCATCCCCTTTCCTACAGCAATTGCTACCTTAAGCCAGATACACACTCTGCCAACTACCCGCTGTCTTCCTGGCACTCTAGAGAGAGAGGTGGTCAGAAAAGCAGCTGGTCGCATGGAAACAATTAATTCTCAACTTCTTTCAGTTTGCCCAGAATATTCCAAGCTGTGTGAATAAACCCCAGCGAGTGCTGTTTCCATTTTTGCCAAACAGTGTGTGAAACTGGAGGTTTGATAATGATATTTATATAAATGAAGTTAATTGGAAAAACTGTTTTTCCTTGCATTGTTGAATATGTATATATATATGTATATATATATATATATATATATACACATACTCAGAATGACAAATTTGTGTCAATTAATAATTGTATACAAAGCATATATACAAAGTTAAAGGAAAATGGTTTTCATTTTTCTTCATTTTAAATTTGAATATACAATTATGTTTTTAAAAATAGAGTGATATAAAATGCTTTAACAGTCATTTCTTGGGAAAGACTAGCCCTTATTCAAAAATGTTTCCTTTCCTATTTTTATGGTGAACTTGTAAAGTTGAACTTGTAAAGAAGAACAAGTCACTTCTTTAATGAAATAATGGTGAAAGCTGAAAAAATCAAATATGGCAACTCCACATCAGTCCTTGATTTATTTCATTTTTAAATTTCGCGTGTCCATGAACACTGGTCAGGAAGCGTGGTTTTGGAAGATGGGGTCTAGCTTCAATGCCGGCGCTCCCTGGATGGACGTGTAGAACGAAGATGTTTGTGCTTCAGAGTCACAGTATAAAAGTAGGAGTTGGGTGAGATGTCATGATGGGGTAGAAATGGCACTAGTCTGGGGGTCAGAGGGCAGGATTCTCATTCTAGCTCTATCCCTGACTAGTCATGAAGATGAGTCTTCAATCTCCTCACCTGCAAAATGGAGATAAAAGCTGTATCCTCCTTACTCACTGGGATGCTGAATAATAAAAGAAAAAAATGTGCATGAAGCACCTTGCAAACTGCACAGTATTATACAAAAATAAGACATTAATCATACAAGAAAGGCATGTTTTCCTCCAGGGGAATGAGAGTGTGTGTGGGTTGCTATTGAAAATATTTAACCACCAGTGCTGTGTGCTGCAGAGACTGCACTCCCATAAGCTTTCACGTGAGGGCAAATCTGAGGGAGGTCTGGCCAGGGAGGTGGGGGCAGTGGCAGGGTTGGGGGGGGTTGGTGAGTCGGTGTATACCAGCCCTGGAGCTAGCACCGAGGCCACGGAACAGGCTCCTCCACCATGGCCCACTCTGGAAGGGCTGGCGGGCTTGTATGTGAAGAGGGGATGGCCTGTATGACTCAAAGCAGATTGACGTGTGGATCAGTTGGTTGAGGGCCACTGGAGGCACCCCTGTGTCAATGGTATAGACATTTAAAGGTTATTCAGAACATGTAAGGACAATAATGCTATAACGCATTGTACACATGTAACACGTTCTCGTTGTTAGCCTAAATTGAGCTACCAATATAATGAGTAGCCAGATTAGGATTTTTAAAAGTTGTTTTCGTTATGTATGAGAGCCCCAGAGAGGCCTTCTTGATGAAATTTGTGAACATCTGACAGAAGTAATGGGATTGTTGGTCTGTGTTGGTACCTAAGGAACCAGATTTTGCGTCTAAGAACCAGAGGATCCTCAAAGTCGCATGCTAAGCATAGTGTGGGTTCTTGAAGCTTACTCTGGAAGAATGGTTAGAAGAGCACTACAGTCAGAAGACATATAATCATAGAGATAAAAATGATTTTGGAGATTATCCAATACCCAATTCACATTCTGTTGAAGGTTACCATGAAAGCCTTTGAGCATAAAGAGGGAAAGAAGAGCTTTCTGGGAGGAAGGGTTATGAATTTCTTTCTTAAATTCTACCTGCGAGAAAAATTGTATTTTTCCTATTATCTCCTATTAGAAGCAAAGAGAAAACTTGAATTCCTCTAAGAAGCTAGATCTTCCAGGGATATTTGAGTAGATTTTCTGTTGACATGTCTGCTATCCTATAGCAAATCCAAATAGATTGATGCGAAAAGATCTTAATGAAGAAGGAATATCATGGGATTATTTGTCTTGGGTAGCCAAAATCTGGGCAACTAGAACTATTCATTCACTCATTCGTTCAGTTATTCATTCAATTATCAAATAATTTTGACAGGGAGTTTCAAAGTCCTCAAGGATGGACAATCTACGACAATGTAAGTTTTTCTACGGCAGAGGCAATAGTTGGTGGTGGCCTTAGTGTTATCACAACAGCCAGAGTGATTTTTTCAATGTATAAATCAGACACTCTTGCTTCTCTGCTCACAATCCTCCACTGGCTTCTCATCATACTTAAAATAAGACCCAAACCTCCCACCATGGTCTTTGAGGACTTCCATGGTCTGGCCCCTGCTGACCTCTCCAAACTTATCTCTACCACTGTGCCCGGCCTACTTTGTGTCAGCCGCACTGGACTAAACTGAGGGTGTCTCAGGGTCTTGGCACATGCTGTTCCTTCTGCCTGGATCACTGTTCCTCCCAGTATCTTCATAGATCATCTCTTTAGTCAGTTCTCTGCTCAAAAGTTCCTCCATGGAGAGGCTTCTACCAACCCTCCTATCTGAAACAGCACCATTACACCCCAACATGCTCCATCCTCTTATTCTGCTTTATTATTGTTCATAGTAGTCGTTACTCTGTGACACTACTTGGTTTATTTATTTATTTGCCTTCTGTCTGCCCTGCCGTCTCCCACCAGAATGTGAAGCTTTATGAGGGCAGGGACCTGACCTGTCACGTTCAGTGCTATACCCACAACATAGGGAACAGTGCGTGGCACATAGGAGGCTCATAAGAAGATATTTGTTGAATGAACAAGCGAATGAAAGAGCAGTGAGGCAAGGATGGAGGTGGGGAAAAAGCAAGGGAATATCATGTAAACAAGAGTAGGGAGGAGCTGGCCCCGTGATGCAGTGGTTAAGTCCAGCACGCTCCACCTTGGCAGCCCAGGTTCATGGGTTCGGATCCCAGGCATGGACCCGCACTGCTCATCAAGCCATGCTCTGTTGGTGACCAACATACAAAATAAAGGAAGATTGGAACAGATGTTAGGTCAGGGCCACTCTTCCTCAAGGAAAAAAGAGGAAGTTTGGCAACAGATGTTGGATTAGAGCGAGTCTTCCTCACAAAAAAAAAAAAAGAAGAAGAAGAAGAGTAGGGAATCTTGAGCTTCATTTTCTCCATCAGCCACTCCTCACTCTCTACAGTGCTCCCCTCAGCCTGCAGAGGAGACCTGGGCAGGGCGAATCAGACCTTTATATGCAACACCTCCCCCGGAGCTTGTGAAAAATGCCGATCCTTGTGTGGTTGGTCTCCAGGGCAATTAAGAAAGACTCCCTCTGAACTAGTTCTCCTGAGGACCTAATTCCATGCTATTATTGATTTTTAAGAAAGTTATATTAAAGGTCAA